TTTGAATTTTAAATAAATGTAATTTTAGAGCAATCTTTCAACTTACAATTTATAAGGTTAAATTTAATCATTACAATTTTGTCTATATAATACAAATACAATAATAAATGCGTAATTAACAGTATCGAATAAATAAAAAATAATTCTAGGGAAATACCTTCTTTTCTTTAAATATTTATTTTTAGGAATTACAATTTGAGCCTAAATGGAACTTCATACAAAGTTTCATTTGGGAATGTTTTATTATAAAGATAAAGTTCAAATAATTAGACACATTATAAAATGTTTTCCCTTTTTATTATTTTGCGTTATTGTTGCTTTCTATAAAAAGTTTATATTTAAACAACTTAAATTCTTACAATATATGTAAAAGAAAAAACAAAGATTTTTCCAATTAAGGTAACTATAATTAGGAAGAATTTTCTAAACTTCGAAAATACTATTCAAAATATATCTTTTTTTGTAAATTTTAAATCGTTAATTTAAAGTACTAAATATTAATAATTGTATATTTTGTGTGCGAAATGTTCTGGTTTCAAAATTACTTTTAAAAGTTACACATGTAACATAATGTACAATCTTCAATTATGTTAATATAACAAATAGTTTTTATAAAAAAATGTTTATACTGTATATAGTTATTAAAAATAGGTATTTGTTTCTGAAAATAATGATAATAAAACAAACTAGTACAAACGGTCCCATGGTGTAATGGTTAGCACTCTGGACTTTGAATCCAGCGATCCGAGTTCAAATCTCGGTGGGACCTTACAAAACACTTTTTTTATACTATATCAAAATAATATCATTATAATTAAATAACAAAAGATTCTATTATAAAATACACGAGAAACATCTTTGAATTGAATATTAAATTTTACAATAACTGTACTTACAGTACAATTATTCTACTAAAATAAATTATTCTACTAAATGATATTTAATGTTCATAATAATTAACTATAAAAGCTATTATTGTTTACATTTGTGTGTTAAGCAATTTCTATTGTAGTTTATTGAAGAAATTATACTGGCAAAAATATTTTTATTTGTATATTGCTATCGTAATAGAGGGCATCACTATCGATTGTCACACCTGGATTTATTCAATTTCGAAAGCTGACAGTTTCTAACCTTCGCTTATTTTTAGAACTTGTATAGAAATAAAGTCTTTAGAATAGATTACACAAATTTTTATCAAAATTAGTAATAATTGAAATAAAATTATAAATTATGAATATTATGTTCATAAACTTATTAGAACAAATTGCAATTATGAGCGAAGGGTGTGACTCTGTTGTGATAGTTAAAGCTAAGCCAATTCGTAAAGTATTCAAAGCACCAGTTAAAATAAATAAAGTTCCCGATGAAATCTTAAATGATCCACATTTAAATGCAGCAATAGCTGCATTACCATGTAACTACAATTTTGAAATACACAAGTCAGTATGGAGAATTAAGGAAGCAAAAGCAAGAAGGGTAGCATTACAAATGCCTGAAGGACTTTTAATGTATGCTACAACTATAGCTGATATTGTAGAAGATTTTACAGGTGCAGAAACTGTTATAATGGGAGATGTTACTTATGGTGAGGAATTGAGATATTATATAAAGAAAATAATTACACATATATGTTTTATATATGCTATTCCTATTTGCAATTGTAAACTAAAAATCAGTTAATACAATTGATATAGGGGCATGTTGTATAGACGATTATACTGCAAGAGCATTAGATGCAGATTTCTTAATTCACTATGGACATTCTTGTTTAATACCAATTGATCAAACAATTGGTATTAGAGTGCTTTATGTATTTGTTAATATAAAAATTGATACTTTGCACTGCATTGAATGCTTACAAGCTACACTACCAGTTACAACAAAAATTGGGCTTACAAGTACTATACAATTTGCTGGTACTTTACAAGCAATTGCAATAGAAATGAGAAAAAATGGTTACGAAATATTTACTCCACAAAGTAAACCATTAAGTCCTGGCGAGGTATTTACATTTATATATTTTGTTAATGTGAAACAAATTCAAATGAAATTCTGCTGTGCAAAATTAAATTTTAATTCTTACATTATAACAAAAACTCATAACTGTATATAGATTTTAGGTTGTACAGCACCACAAATTCGATGTGCTGATGTAATCATTTATGTAGGAGATGGTAGATTTCATTTAGAAGCAGTAATGATTGCTAATCCAAAATTACGAGCATTTCGATATGATCCGTATGAGAAAAAACTGACTGAAGAATTTTATAATCATGAACAAATGCTAAAAACTAGATTAACAGCAATTGAACAAGCAAAAGAGACTGGAAGATTTGGATTAATACTTGGTACATTAGGAAGACAAGGAAACCTTAATGTTTTGAAAAATTTAGAAAATAAAATTAATTTATTGGGAAAAGAAAATGTTATTATACTACTCTCAGAAATATTTCCTGATAAGATTAAATTATTTAAAGGTGTTGATGCCTTTATACAGGTTACTTTTTACTTTTAAAATTTTATTTTTGCTTATGTAATTCATATCCATGATAGATATTATATGCTTCTTATATTATAGATTGCATGTCCACGGTTAAGTATAGATTGGGGTTCTGCTTTTGAAAAACCATTTCTTACACCATATGAAGGAGCGGTTGCTCTAAAAATGATAAACTTTAACACTGACAAGCCATACCCTATGGATTTTTATGCTTCAGCTAGTCTTGGACCATGGACTCCTAATCATAAAGAATCTGAATTAGAGAAAGAAACTAACACTTGTTGTGGTAAATGTAGAGATAAAACGTAAATAAGAAAAACTGATTTATATTTGACTTAATATTATTACAGAATATTATCTTTTATTTAAAGCTTCCTAAACTTTTCTATATTTTTATTAGTATATCTAGATTACAACTTAAATAGAATCTAGCGGTATTGTATTTTGATTAAAATTATAAAATTCTGT